CTGTTAAAGAGTTATCGAAGTTTGCTTATTTTTTCCCCTAATGTGATGAGTCAGCACTTTTTTCTTGATATCATATTAAAGATCTCGTCATTCTGCACGAATATTGCTCAGTATGTTTTAACAAAATATTTATCCTTTAACAGATCATATAAAATATCTCTAAATTCACTCATAATTCGTGTCCTACATTTTTCAGACCTTATCAACTTCCATACTGGGCACTTCCGGAAAATATCCTGACCCAGGTGCACAATGGCAACATGTCCTCTATCTATGGTAAAAATTTCAGCGCTCTAGCTTAAACCGTTTTTGAGTTCTGCTCCAGACAAGAAAGCCCTCTAAATTTCGATTAAAGGGCGATAACTTCCGACCGGAAGTGAATTTCAAAAAAATGAGAAAAACGAATCAGGTTTAGGTGAAGACACATTTTTCCTGAAAATTTCAAGTTAATCGATCGTGTCATCTCCGAGAAATCTTCTGCACAAAAATTGTAAGAAAAAAAGGGAAGAATAATAAAAGTGAAAAAGAAACAATAGAATAATAGAAGGGTCTTCCGCTGAAGACGGAAGACCCTAATAATAATAATAACAAGAAACAGAGTAAAAACAATATGTTCCCCAACTTCGTTTGGGGAACATAATAATAAGAAACAGAGTAAAAACAATATGTTCCCCAACTTCGTTTGGGGAACATAATAAACATCAGTTACAAACAAATCAGATACAGACAGCCATTGATGCTGACATATCTTCAAATATCACTATAATATTTTCATATAACAAAATGGAGTCATTTATGAGAACCTATGATTCTTAGACACCTTAATCAAAATAATGTCTTATATCAGGGTTTGACGTAAAGGCACGTCCAACCGACTGAGTCTAGTAAAAGATAGGTCTGGTCGGGTAAAATGTCTGTATACTAGAACGACTGGTCATGTAAGAAAAATAAAGGAACTTATTATATATTTTTAAATAATTATTTATTCCCGATGAAAAAATAAAACGTTTCTAACGGCATAGTAGATACATTACAGACAGCATGACTGAAGCGCTATTTTTAACAACAGTTCATACATGCATTTGGCATTCGTAACTGCTCGGCCATTTTCCTAGAGAGAAACAATGAGCTATTTATCGTTCACGTGAATGGCTGAGTAGTTACGATTGTCATTGTCGAAAGATTCACGTTTACGACATCGGTAATCAAGTAAATAACAGTAAAACTATAATAATTAAATGAAAAAAAATCTGTAAAATCGAGCTGAAAATTTAATTTGAAAAACTCGTGCTGATGGGTGATTGAACCAGGGTTACCAGCAAGTATTTCCAACGCGCTTACCTTTACTATATTGGGACCACACTTCTAAATTTATTTGTAAATATTTCTGCAACAGTATATATGTCTTGAAATTGTGAAAGGCTGATATTTATTCATAATTTCGCGCCAAAATCTTCACGCCTTTTCTTTGAAAAAGTTCTATTAAACAGGTGTGATAGCTTCAATGAAATTAGGAACGTTCTTATAGCTTAAATTCTGAGTTTTAAAAGTCATTGAATATGTTCAATGTACGAGACATAAGACATATCGTTTATACGCAAGTAATACGAAAGCAGTGGAATATGGCTATGATTCTTTAACATATTTCAATTTCCCAATTAGTTACACATTCATTAAAAACTGAAACTGAAAAACATGCCTCACCCAACGACAGTCAAGAATTAAGATACCATTTATATTCAATAACTTGAATTAGATCTATTAGAAAACAAATGTTTACATAAACTTCATTAAACGATCTTTTGAAAAAATGGTTTACTTATTTTATTCTTTTCTATTAGTTTGCATGGGAAAACAGTGGCCGCGTTTCATACTCACTGAATATATTGTTTCTTCATAAACTTATGCCTACATATATATATTAATCGTGATTCAAGATCTGTTGTTCCATGATGCAAAACAAAAGGTTGTAGATATAGTATTTCATTTGTACATGTAGTCTCGTCTTTTTCTACTTTGAGAACCAGATAAAACAAATTTGATAAGACCTCGAATTAAAACTTTAGTTAAAACAGAATTGCAACGTAACTACGACGTGACAATCAAAGTATCCCTTTTACATTTCATTTATCCTTATGTTAGTTTCGTTCAACCAAACGCTCAGCTGACTCCATAACCCCCTACGCACTAAATGTCGGAGTTGACAGAGACAGACGCCATTTTGGATACGCTTCGAATTTTCAAATGTTAATATCTAGAGTTTGGATGTATCAATTTATAAACAAATTATATATAAAGCCTAATTAGAAAAATTTCTATTTAACTTATTGAAATAATTCAAAAATATTGAAAAACAAAAAAGTTAGAAAATTCGACTTTTTAAATTTTCATCTGGAAACAACAGGAAGTACTGACGACGAACGAAAGGTCGCGTCCTGGATAATGAATATCACGATATATAATCCCTGAAAGTTTCACATTAATATCTTTTACCGTTCTTAAGATTAACCGCAGACAAAATGTCATTTTAAATTCAGGAAAAGGTCTGTAACTTGGCACCGGAAGCGAATTTCCAAAAAATCTCTCGGATAAAATAACTTCAGATTACAACACATTGTTTCTGAGAATTTCGTGAAAATCCACCAAGTAGTCTTCGAGAAATCGCGTGCACAAAATTAGATGGTCAGAAAAATAATAATAACTAGAAAAGAAACTCGTTGCGAGCAACGAGAGGTCTTCCGCCCGATTCTGAAAAAAACCCAGCAAAATTGAGCTGAAAAAAGTGATAAAACTTGTTATGAAAACAAAGGGCAATGAACCCGGGTCGTTAGCATGAAAATCCAAACCGCTTACTATTACTCTATAAGAACCAAAGCTCTAAATGTACTTGTATATACTTCTGCAACAGTACATGAGTTTTCGAATAATGAAAGGCAGGTCACTATTAATAATTTTGTGTCAAACACCACGAGTAAATCTTCGCGCTTTTTCTTGGAATGTTCCATTAAATAGGTGCGATAGCTTCGATGGAAATGAAACAAGAACGTTCTTATAGCTTAAATTTCAAGGTTAAGAAAGTATATTTAGCATATTTACACATTCGATATCGTATATAGATAAATAATACTAAATCAGTGAATCTGGTAAACTTTTTACCCTTTTTTTTTTTAATTTCCTGTTCATCCCCACTAAAGAACATATTGATAAAAGCATGCCTACTATAGTCAGGGAATCAGATAACATTAAATTTTATGTTCAATAATTTAAATCTGATCTTTGAGACAAGAATGTTAATATGAACTCCATTCAACGATATTTTGAAAAATGATTTTCTTATATTTTTTTTTCTTTTCTATTATTTGAATATGACACAAGTCTGCATGTGCAAAACAGTGGTTATGTTTAATACTTACTATGTACATCCATAGTGTTTCTTAAAAACTATTACTTTTTACCTATGATTTAAAATCTAATTTTCCGAAACAAAAGATACTAGGTATCGTATTTCATTTGCACATTTAGTCTTTTCTTTTTCTACTTTGAGAACCAGCCAAAACCAATTATAGAAGACGTTTCAGACGACCAAGGATTAAATCATAGTTTGACACAGAATTATAACGTAGCAACGACGTGAGAATCCAAGTATTCCTTTACATTTCATTTATCCTATTTTACTTTCATTCAAGCAAACGCTCGGCTGACTTCGTAAACCCTGAATTGCGAAATGTCGGAAATGACAGAGACAGCCGCCATTTTGGACCCGCTTCAGATTTTTAAATGTTAATATCTAGAGTTTGGATTTATCAATATTCAAACAAATGATACAGTGAGCATTAAAAGAAAGGTTTCTATTAGCATTCCAAAAATAAATGAAAAATATTGAAAAACAAAAAAGTTAGAAAATACGGACTTTTAATTTCGCTTCCGATAGCAACCGGAAGTAGTAACGACGCACAAAAAGGTAATTCCGCAAATCTAGAAGTGATTATCTATCATCTCTAATAAGTCCCCAGTTAATATCTTAATCCATTTTTGAAAAAAAAGGGGGAACAAAAATCCGTTTTAAAATCAGAAAACTGTCAATATCTTGGAACCGAAGGTGAGTATTCCAAATTTTCCTTGTCATGCCACAACTTCATATAATGACGCATAATTCCTAAAAGTTTCATTGAAAACCACTATATAGTTTTCGAGAAATCGCCTGCACAAAATTTTGGGGAAAAAAATAATAATAATAATAATAATAATAAGAAACAGTAGAATCACTAGAAGGTCTTCCGTGAAGACGGAAGACCTTAATAAGAAACAATAGAATCGCTATAAGGTCTTGAAGACGGAAGACCTTAATTATTCTTACTATACCTAAATTCTCCGAACATTTTTAATGGTATCAATTAATATTGTATACAAGTTGATTGAACTAGGACTAAACACGACAAGTCACATGTATATGACCTAGTTTCGATGTGACGTGTGAGAGAAAATGTTATTTTAAATATGGATTCTCATCTGACATCTGCACAGAAAAACACAATTATCACTTTTTTGTACTTGAAATATGTTTTCCCAAGTTTGGTCAGGGCTAGTGATTAAAGGGTCAGGGCTAGTAAAAATTTGCCAGAGTAGCCCGATTGGTCTAGTATTCCAAAAGCTTAATGTCAAACCCTGTATATGTATTTAAAAGTGACGGTGAACGTGAAGCTTAACCATCTTCTAATGGTCTTATTTAAAAGTGACCGTAAACATGAAGCTTAACCATCTTCTAATGTTAATAAAATGATATTTAAAGTGCTAAATATCAGGAATGACTTTTTATACTCTATAATAATGAACATATTTTAACCTCCTATAAGTACATTGTATTCATGGTGGACCACTAGCATTAGCATCTGGTGACTTACTTATTCATGACTTCTGTTGACTGAATAACAGCTGATGTATAACTGACGCAATTTCTTCATTACTTGTATTGACTGATTTATGACTGATGTATGACTGACTTACTTTCCTCATTACTTGTGTTGACCTGTACCATCACTTTTAGCTTCCCCTCTTTCTTTTTGGACTCCCACTGTCTGTTCAATACATTGGCAATTTTGTCTGAATGCACTGTCTCCACCATAAAGAGATTTGGACATGCTACAATCAAGCAAATACAAAGGATATATGGAAAATCCATTTTAAGTATTGCAATAGTAAATGTACAAAAACTAGTGCAATCAAAATTTTAAGCAATTTCTTCCTCTTCAACAGTTTAGCTATATCAAATATTGTAAGCACTGGTATTATGAATATTTAAAGCTTGCAAAATGATACATCTCACCTTTCTTTTTAAAGAATTGCATCTCATATTTCTCTCTTAAAAGTTATGGACCATTGACCATTGACATGACCACTGACCAAATAGTTATAATTTTTTTTTGCATATGACATTGAAATTGCTCAAATGATAAGCCCTTAGCCTAGGGGTGTTTAATACAAAACTCTGGGTTTTCCAACCTTGACTGGGCCTGGAGAACTAATATTCATATACACTATTAAGAGAATAGCAATCTTTGTGTCAAATTTACATGTATTTGGATTTACACAATCCAAGATCCTACAAACTCTTAGTCATATACTACATAAGCTTTCAGTAAAAAGTACGTCACAGCCTAGTATGCAGATTCGTTTACTCAAAAAAGATGGACGTACAGACAATGTGATTCCTATTTACCCCCCTTTTAAATTTTGTTTGGGTTGGAGGATGATCAAATTGGAGGAGGATAATATAGCCTGATACACTGTTATATGTTACATGTTCAAACTAAGGATCACTAAATCCAAGCTTTTGCCTGATGTGTACTTACAGACTAATGCTCCTGCTTTTTTACTTTGAAGATGTCCTATAAAATGCCATTTTATATCCTTGCATTCTGATTGGATCTGAAATTATAGCATATTGTACCTTATAAAACAGCCTTCTTAATTAATACATAATATAAAATTTTGAGTTAATCATGTTAATAAAAATCCAAAATTAACACATTATTAAGACATGTAAAAGACTAATTCTACATCTATTAAAATAAAGACGCCTATTTTTTTTGCAAATTTATGCACTGATGACATTTTCAAACATTAATTGCTGAAGCTTACACCATCATTATTATTTTAATACAATTATAAGGTCTAAATTTTGGGGTTAAGCATGTTAAGAAATAGGGAATTTCACTTGATCTTGAACTACACAAAATATACAACCTACCTCTGGGGCAATGGACTTCTCAGATAGTTCATTGACCTGCAAAAATCAATGTGTAACTCAGAGATACAAATCAGACCCTTGTTTTAAATATATTACATAGGCATTGAAAGCTTATTGAAAGGTTTGTGGGGGAGGGGGGTGGTAGCCCTAAAGCAGCCAAATATTGTTTAGGGCTTGATTATCAAGCCTCAATTTTCAATATATATTATGTCTTTATTTGCAAACTGCAAAGAAAGTGGAGAGGGCTAATCCCCAAAACCCCCTTACCTCCCTTCAACCTTGGTTTTGACACCTATGTATTTGCTAAAAAATATGCTGAAAAACTCCAAAGAAAATAACTTATGGTCCAAGAATATCAAATGTTTTAATACAAAAATCTGAGCATATCAGATATTGGAATCCACACTTACATAGTTTTCCCCAAAGTGCTTCTGTCCACACTTGTAGGCCTCCACTACAGAGCTGGGGGGCTTGGTCTTAGACACCGCCACCAGCCTGGAGGTCACTGGAAACTCCCCATTGTCTGTCTGTCACAGAATAATCAAGAAAATGTAAAAACTGATACATAAGTGGCATGTGTTTAACTTAATAATAATGCAGCAAAGAGAAATTAATGGTCACCATCTCAATTGTACAATACATGTACCTATAAATTTGTGTATTTGCTGGTGCCTTGACAGAGCATTTGCTTCAATGATAGAATGACCCTGCATGTAAATATGTAAAATATATACTATGCCAGGCAGAGTTATGAGCTTAAAACATTTAAAAGCATGTACAGTGGACCTTCAGATATCCAGACGCCAGATATCCAGATGCTTCAGTATCCGGGCGACTTTTCATGGGAACAGATTTTTTTAATGTTATTTTGTCTTGTTTAACTGGTGATTCAGATATTCGGATGCTTCACATATCCGGACAAATTGACTAGGAACCAAAGCGTCTGGATAAATGAGGCTCCACTGTATTAAAGTGCATTACACATAATTATATAATTATTTTATTGGAACATTAATTTATTCATCAGATTCATGGCCAAAAGATAAAGTTTAATTTGTTTGAAAAATAATTTTTTTGTTTTCCGACATTAATGAATTGAAATTACTACATGTATCTGACATCTGTACTTGTAGTGCATTAGATGATATTCACCAATTGGCTCAACTCCAATTTAAGGATAATTTAGTACTTTGACTGAAACAATATTAACATATACATACATCACTGTATATTGAGTTAATTTTAATCTACATACCACACATTGATTCACTGTTGACCGGGGACAGGTCTACGGTTGACACAGTTTACACTATTTTGCCAAGAGATATTTTTTGTTTTGTTTTGTTTGTTTGTTTTTTGTTTTTATACAAAAATGGCAAGAAATTCAGGTTTAAATTTAAGTTGTTTTTTTTTTAAAAAACAGATTAATTTTTTGTGTATCCCACATGCAGACTAACCTTGTTAATCCATACTGTATGGAGCTTATCCCCTCTGTTTATTTAATGATGCGATGGCAGAGAGTGGAATACACATATTTAAAGCATTTTATAATTCAATGCACAACTGGCAAGTTTCAATTAAATTAGGGGATAGTAGATTAATACATAAATAGGTTTTGCAGGGAGAGGAATATGAATGAAAATTAAAGACTTCCAAGATATGTATAGCCAAGGGATATGAAATGCTTTCCCGTCTATTTTTGGCTCCATTTGAAATCCTGCAAACACATGGTATCAATCATGTTAATGAAGCTTTTTGTTTAAATGGACATCCTTGTCCAAATTTGTTACATAACACGTGCTTGGTAATGCTTATATAAGCCATGAATGACAACGGCAATCTTTCTTTTAGTTTTATAATCACGAAAACATAAATCATGAGCGTTCACTATCCTTGATTATTGCCACAAACAGTAAATTAATGTTTCTCCAGCAAAAGTGATACGCAACTTTTTTGTTTTTAAAGAACAAATAGAATACTCCATACCTTTCTCTTCTCTTTGGCAGATTCTATTTTGTCCAAAACATTATGTAATGCAGACGATATTGAGGACATCTTTCTGCTACTGGTGAATTTACGGATCATTACGCCTGTTGTGTTTAGGATCGGCTTTTGGTAATGCCGAGCCCGACGAGTAACTAGGTCATCAACAAGAACAATATTCAGGACACACACTTGATAAATTACGGTTAAAAAATCCTCACAAATAATTATATAAGATTGGTAAAATCAAGGATATACCTGAACTACAAGACGATAACGAGCTGAAGAGTCACGAGACAAACGAGAGTTTAAAATTAAATCTTAGGGCCTACATGTAGTGCGTTGTCCTATCGGTCATGAACACGTACTGTACCAATCTAATAAAATTAAGATGTTAGATCCGCTCGCATAGCAAGTATGCGAGCGGATCTAACATCTAATTTTAATTAGATTGGAACACTACGAGTATAAGATCCAGTTTATACCAGCTATCATGGCATATCTGAGCTTAATTATTTTGAAATGTTAATTAGGCCTAATTAATTAACAAGTATCAAGTGCATGTAAAACACTTCAAGTTATATCATTTTCACAGAACTTTGAAGTGTTTTAAATAAAATCTTATTATTCATCAGCCAATAATTATATAAAAAAAAATATGCTGTACTGACCATGCCAAGAAAACCTTAGCATTCTCTCCGTATAGCAAACTCAATAAAAGCCGAATTAACATTAATCTGTGATTCTTCCCCTGGGAGACGTCTGCAGTTTTGAGGGAGGGATCTTAAAATTTACTGGATTAAAATTATAGGTAGAATACTAGTTATTTAGAAGCCTTCCCCCCCCCCCCCCCCTCCATTGTCTTTTTCGGGTAGGATGGGGGAATGAAATTAATTATAGTAAAGTAATTCTTCAATAAAATAAGCTGCCTTTCAATTTTTTTACGTAATACAATTTCAGAATATTTTTTCTCAGTACAAATAAATTGACATCGGGTAGTTGTGGAAGTACCACGTCGAAATATAGATAAAAGAGTACCAAATTTCCGGAAGTTTACAACATTTCCTGGTTAAGATGGAGACGAGTACTGAATGGGTAGACGTTACCCGATTGGCTATGTATATATTTTCATTTTAAAATGAATATTTTCTTTTGATTGTTTTTTCTTATTTTCTTTCGTCCAATTTTTTTTAAAAAATAAATTTTGGTACCAGTGCCTCTGGCATTTTACGTATTTTGTAAATAAAGATATTTGACAGTAACTTTTTAGGGTATTTGTACAACTTCCTGGGGTGGAAGTTTATTTTTTCTTTAACTAAGAAAGCTTAAAATCTAGGATCCACCCCCAGAAGTCTGCTGCCGTAAATGGTCTTGCTGGCGTTTTGGGAATATGGGTGATTTGCATCAATTACACTTTTATTGACTCCATCGCTGTCGAAATCGGACGAGATTTCTTGGCATGTATATCAGTCCAGTCCAATACGAAAATTCGTAATTTTACGAAAAAACGTAAGATTACGAGAAAGCGTAATATTACAAGTTATCGTAATACAAAACTTATATTACGATTTTTCGTAATGTATAAATTATAATATAGCAGATGTAAGAGACTATATTACGAGTTTTCGCAAGACAAATTCAAGCATTGCAAGAAATTTAGTGGCGGGTAGTAAAGTATGGCGTTTAATACGAGATGTCATGGGCGATAACTTGTACGACGCTTACTGAGATTTGAAATTCTGTGTATTTTAATAAGAATTGCACGAACAGTTGAATTATGAAACGAGGGTGTGATTTTTAGGGTAGACTTCGGAAGAAAAGTAGGGAGTTGGGGTGATATAGACCAATGCTACATGCTTTAGCGAATATTGAAATTTACTGGAAAATTGGTCTTATCCGTGGGAAAATTCCTATAAAAGAATAATAAAAGAAATTGTCCACTCACCCATCGCTGGCGATACTTTCTTCTTGAATTTCCATGCTTTCTGATAGGCGTAACTACCAATGACCGCATGCTATCATTAGAACAAATACCCACCACTCAATTTCTTCAATGCTTGAATTTGTCTTATTACGAAAACTCATAGTTTCTTACAATCTACTATATTACGCGTATTCGTAATTTAACTACATTACGAAAAAAATATAAGTTTTATATTACGAAAACTTGTATATTACGAATTTTCGTATTGGACTGGACTGTATATAGATAGAGAGATCTACATATATTGTATATATGTCAGCATTTCGCCAGCCAAGGGTTTCTGATACGCTAATCATGATTATGAGGATGGTATGTCTGTCACAGAGGATATTCCACCGTCGGAAAATGCACGGGTGATCTCGTCTTTACTTAAAGACGAGATCACCCGTGGGTTTCCGACGATGAGGATATTCGTGACAGGGACCTATATTTCAGTAATCAATTAAATTTTTAAACTATAGTATAATAAACAGTGCATGGTTAATTAAAAGAACTACGAATGAAATATTGTTTTCCCGCCTATACCTCCAAGTCAGTTTTCAAAAGTTATTTTAACATAATAATTCGATGAATTTTTGATATTTTTTTTATAGATACATGCAATTGTATTTTTTTAAAACATTTATTTTCTTACAAAGAGAGATACCTCTAAACTGTTGGTACAGGGTTTAAAATTAATGCCGACTCGCAAATTGCGAGTAAAAATTGGTTGATTTTCGAATAAAAATTCTAAAACATTTATTTTAGGTTTTTGATAAAAACAGAAAAAGAAATAAATCACAGCAGTACCTCTAAACTAAAGTACTGATTTGTGAAATTACATGTAAAACTTGTGTTTTTCTCGTGAGAGATATACAAGAAATCACTACAGAATGAATTTTTTTCACCTAAATATTTTAAAAACTTATTGTGTCACACAAAAATTCGTATTTATTTTTACAAGTAATATGGATACAATTTTATTATATGACATCTGAAATATTCATACCAGATGAATTTATATATAAGCTTTTTGTGTACATTAAAACTGGGGGGGGGTTTAAACCCTGTGGTACATGTAAAACTTGTGTTTTTCTCTATAGAAATCAACAGGGGTAAAACTTCCCCCGTGACACAAAAATTCCTTTTTAAAAATATGGACTGTTATTTCAAAATTCATACCAAAGCTTTTTGTGTTTCACGGGATGGGGGGGGGGGGGTATTAACAAAAAAAAACCGAAAAAAAATGCTTATTTTCCACCAATATCAAAGCGATTTACAACTGAAACATTATTAATTATTATTAATACAAACATATTTGCATAAAACATAAGAAAAGATAATTATATAAGGAATATTTAATCATATCCAAGACTATTTCAAAATATAGTGATGCTTGCATGAAAGTCCGATTTCAATGGAAAATATCGTAACCCCCCCCCCCCCCTTTTTTTTTCAAGAGACTGAATTATGGATAATTTACTAAGTAATGTTGGTATCAAGACAATTCATCAATTACCATTGAACTGGTCCTTGTATTAAACAAATATTTTATGGCCAAATTGCCGTTTATATATTGAATTAAATGGTTGCAGAATGTAGGCGGGAATCGAGAGTTAGCGTGTGTATTTCTTTTATTACTGAAACGGTAGTAACAAAATTGTCTATCATGTGATTTGAATGATGTAGATCTAGAAGATGGATTCCATTTAAATTAAAATGACCTGTATATCAAGATCTCATAATTCAATATATCAAACAGCATAATGTTAAAAATTTTTGTTTCATGTAAAAAAAATGTCAAAGAAATGTCTAATCTGGGAAGATTTTCAATTTGTTCAGCACTTCACAACATTCACAACGAAGAATATATAGAATAATAGACTAAATTGTTTGTAGCATATAATTTATATGTCATTATTTATTATATAACTGAAAGATTTGAATTTATCAGTGTTTTTTGTAGATATATAATAATTTTCTGATGTGCCATAAGGCACAAGGAAATAAAGAATTGAATTGACATTTTATATATACCTGACTGCATTGACAATCCAGACGTATTTTATTCACTGCATATCGTAAATACATACTCGTAAGTTGGTATCAGGTCAACATGGTCAATAAAGGTCAAGAATTTCTTCTTCCAACAAAAAGATCGATGAGTCTCTGAATAACAAGCCGATCATGTAGTGCTTTTTAGCCGGGCTTATTGCTCAAAGAGCAGTTGCCAGCTTATATGATCCTGTTCAAGGCAGGATGTTAACCCAATAGTCCGCCATTTAAAGTTACGTCAGTGTTTTTACAAACGCTAAATAAAGCAACAAAAATAAAACGAAGTTTCATCTATATAAAATAAACAGAAACTTTGAAAACTTCATAAGTCAAAGAACATATGACTGTTCATTAGCGTAAGGAGTTTTGATAACAATGGATCATTTAAATTTTTATTAGGATTGTAAAACTCAAGTGTCTTATGACGTTTTTAATCTTAAATGCTACTATAGAAGGCCGATCATTTAAGTCTACAAAATATTTTATTTTAAATATCGGAAATCCGTAAATGGTATAAAATGTAAATTTCTTCTTCACAAAACGAATTACATTAATCTATAGCATGAAAAATAACAAGATAAACAGTTTTAAGTGCATTTATTATAACACGTAGAAATCTCAAATAATAACATCAACTTCCGTTCTAGTCGTACATTTTCACCGATTGTATGTGTGAATTTGAAAAGTCTGTTCTACGTATGTCGTAATTTGGGTACATTTATTGTGTGTGAAAAAAAGACCATTCTGTTCTGGTATGTAACTTTGTATTTGTGTAAAGTACATTTTCAAAAAATATTATATTAATTACTACCCTTATAACACACCTCAGATTAGATGCTTAATTGTCTGAAATGTCGTATTTTTTGTGTATGAAAGACCCACTACTTGTATGTCGTATTTGGGTACAGTATTTTACTGAGAAAGACATTTATGGTAACCTACAACACCAATGAATTCAGTAAAAGATGAAAAGGATCCCCTCTCTATTGCTGGGATTCATACTATAGGTCAATCTTTCACTTAAATAAAACTCGACTCATATTGATTACAGTTCTTTAATTCCATATATATATGAATCTTCTGTTTACCTGTTTTCAACAC